TGAACATCTACCTCATGAAGAGGCCAATTCAGATGCCAGGATTCTGGAGTAATTATACTTACATCCGCACCTGTGTCTAATAAGCCTTCAATAAAAATGCCATTTATACAGACTCTTAGCTTTGGTCTTTGATCGTTAATATACGTTTGCCAAAATATACGTTTACTCTGTCCTCCTGAATTTTTTGACTCATTCTCCACATGTAATTCATCATTTAGACCAGTATTACTTTTTACGGCAGACATTGGAGTTTTTAATTTTCTTGGTGAGACACATTTTCGACTGTAACTGGGAATGACTGGGCCACTTTTGGCTTGGGGGCCTGCGAGAGGCCCCTCAAGGAGTTTCCCGATGGTATCGGGTTGCCTTGTCTGTCTGTTGTTGACCTGCATTCGTTGGACCAATGTCGGCCTTTACCACATCTTCTGCATATACCTGAAGGCTGAGATCTCCTACTTTTGTCATTCCCAGAGGAGATATTATTCCTAGGATTTCTTTGCCTGCAATCCCTTTTCAGATGTCCTAATTTACCACAATTAAAACACCTGGTAGTTTGATGTCTCCTCATAGCTTTGGAAATCGCTTCTCCTACCCAGGATTCATCGTTATAGCTAAACATCTCAACATTCATTGTATGCTGTATCCATTCTTCCATTGGTGCTGATCTAGATCTTAAAGGCCCAATTATCTTTTTACATTCAGTATTTGCATTTTCAAAAGCTAGAGATTCAAGAAGTATTCGTCTAGCTTCTGGGTCTGTTACCCCTATGTCCAGAGCCTTAATTAATCTTTGCACAAAGTCAGTAAAGGGTTCTCTCTGTCCCTGCCTAACCCTGGTATATGATTCGACCCTTTTTGCTGGATCTTGTATTCTATTCAAAGCATTCAAGGCTGCTTTGTGACATAAGGACAGCACTTCTTCATCATAAAGAGCTTGGACCTGTGGATCAGCATATGCTCCTACACCAAGAATTTGATCTTGGGAAACCTCCACACCTTTTGCTCTTCCTTGCTGTTCCATATGTTTGGATTCTTCTCTGAAATAAATTCCAAACATCAAGGAAGGCCCATCATCTAAAACTGCAGACACTAGCTGAGAGAAATCATGGGGGGTAGCTCTGACATTAGAAGCCCAAGTCCTTATCATTTCCTTAACAAATGCAGAGTGCAAGCCAAAGTTAACGACAGCTTGCTTAATTTCTTTTAAATCATTCATTGCTATTGGTGTCCATCTAGCTTCTTTAACTCCCTTTGAGCCTTTGGAAGTTAACCCTTTGTCAGAATAAATTACAGGGTATGTTGTTAGGACCCTGGGTAAGCCAGTTCTAACAGCTGGTGGTGGCATTGTATCCTGTCCTTGTGCCTTCTTACTCTGTTCACCAGCTCCAATAGTTTCTTCAATCATTTCTAATCTTTTTATCATTGTATCCCTTAAATCCTGAATCTCCTGACCTACCCGTGTTTCTAGTAATTTCACTAAGGTATCAGTTTTTTGGTTCCCATTCTGGAGGTTCATTCTATCTGTTACCTTATCAAAACTTTGTGGTAACATCTGAACGTCAAATTCAACAGCCTGTACCCTTTCAGGTAACTTCCTAATACCCTTGGACATGGAGTCAATTTTGTCTATCATAGTATCCACTTGTTCAGATAACCCCTGATTTTCAATAATTTTAATCCTTTCAACTAGTTGTTCAATATTAGTCCGTAAAAATCGTATCTTTCTTAATGATAAAATATTGAAAAGAAAACTGAAACCTAGTAACAAGTAAATTAATATATTCCCATAGTCATATAAACCTTGCATGACATAATCCATTGTATTAATAAAGAAAACAGTAAAATTGGCGTTGGAAACAAAAACTGCCATATTACCTCTTGTCTAGTTGGTGGCGCTGTTGCCAAGTTGCGACTAGAACCACTGCAAAGGTGACTTAAACAGGTCCTGTTTCAGTGTCTGCCTTAGTATTTGTTAAAAACTAGGAAATATAAGTTGCTCAAGAAAGAAAGTTTAATTAAATCAATTCCATACACGGAACCAGAAACCCAGAATCCAGGGGTAGAAAAGAGCAACCCAGAAGCCGCGTATGCCTCCACGTGACCGAGTCGTTCTGATTCACGCCACTAAAGCGCCGCACTTACAAGGGAAATTTGAAAACAACTCAGAAAAGAGCAAACCAGGCAGGCAGAGACTGTCCCGAGCCTGTGGAGCTTGGGAGGCGTGGGGTTTAACTGAACTGCTGGCTCCACACACAGGGCACAGGCCGCAGCTGAGGGAGGTCTCGTGACTAGCCGAGCTGGTAGCAAGCAGTTGAGTGGGGGGGAAGGGGGGGTTCTACAACCAAACGTGGGGCGCCAGATGAAGGCGTAAGTCACAGACAATCCCACACCAGTTTGGAATTATGATTAATATAATGGTTATTTATTCAAAGGGGAAAAAACTTACAGATTACCGTCCCAGACAACAGCCCCTCCGCGGGAACAGGAAAGGAGTCCAGGGGCCGGAAACGGAGCCGGAAGACAAAGAGAGAGTGGAGGACAGCCGCTGCTTTTTTTAAAGGGAGAGACCACGCCCCAATGGGCTGGTAACTCAGCGGCGATTGGCTGAAGGAGCTGAAGGAACTCCCACAGCATATGTTATCTCTTTTTTTTTTTTTACGTAACAAGCCTTTCCTTACCAAAAAAAAAAAACAAAACAAAACAAAAAAAACGTAGTTACTGATTTGTTAAAACTTCATCCGAGCCAGGTAGAGAAGGCACGGGTGGGGAAGGCGGGACAATCTCTGTAAGTTTGAGGCCAGCATGATCTATATAGAAAGCTCCAGGTCAGAACCACACAGTGAGACCCTGTCTCAAAGCATAAAATGAGGGGCTGGAGAGATGGCTCAGAGGTTAAGAGCACTGGCTAGGAATTGAACACAGAGGACCTCGGTTCAATTCCTAGCACCCACATGGTGGCTCACAACCATCTGTAGCTCCAGCTCCAGAGGATCCAAAACCCTCACATGGACACATATGCAGGCAAAACGCCAATTCACATAAAATAAAAATAAATAAATCATCTTTAAAAAGTTTCAAAAGAAAGTAAATAATGAAATATTCCTAAGAGAGGAAAAATACCTTGGTTTGCTTCTCTTAGTAGTGAACTGCTTGAGATCAGAGTTACATCATTCAAAATGAAAGAAAACACTCTAGAGAAATAAGGTACTCAGCATCCTGAGCCAGAACCTCAACTATTCCTAACCTGCAATGCTAAAAGTAAACTTCAAGGTACAATATCAGTAAGCAGTAAGTGAATTTTTCTTAAATGCTTACCTAAACTTAATCGTGTATAAAATAAGAAAACAAATTAGGAGGTAACCATCAATACATCAAGAAAAAAACTGTTAAGACAATCAAGCATAGAAAACAAAACTATCAAAATACCCTGAGGCCAGAGGAACCCACTGAGGCATCCATGGATGGAAGGCTCTGATGCCTGGGTCTGTTTCTCAATAGAAGTGGGTTGGAGGGGATCACACAAGCGAGGGAAGACTAGCCTGGTCAGGAGCTGTGAACTATGAAAACCAGGTGAACGAAATGGATGCACCTCTATACTGGCCCCCAAACATTAGTAATTAAAAGGTAAAGAAACTGTAGGTGGAAGAACAGACCCAGAAGACCATCGGTAAGGTGAGGAGCAACCATAAATTCCACATGCTGCCTCACACCATCTGTAACCTCTCCTGGCTCCGCTTTCCCAAACTTCCCGTCTCCTCCAAATTTTCCAAGGCTCTTCCTTCTTCGTCTGCCTCCAAAGTTTAGAGATTGCCCAAGTTCTTGCCCTTTTAAACTTTTATGGGCAGTCCCAGGATTGAATTTCCTTTGTCAGTCGCTCTCAGCAAGCTCCCATTATTCAAGTTCCCACAACTGCTAGTGCTGTTTCCAGTGCTAGACAGCGGGACAGCTGTCATCACACTGGGACAAGATGTCTCTGCATGCTGGGCACAGTGGCGCTGACCCAGAACCCCAACACATGGAAGGCTGAGGCAGGAGGATGGCAGAGTTACCTAATGAGACCTAGTCTCGGGGAGAGGAAAGGAACACCTCAATCCCCAGCAGATGAGAACTCACTCCACCTGATCTCTCCATTCCCATCCCCTACTTCTAAACCTCACAGACAACCTCCCCCAACATTTCTGCAGCTAAAATCTTAGGGACAACCTTTCCCCAACATTTCTGCAGCTAAAACCTCATGGACAACCTTCCCCAACATTTCTGTAGCTAAAATCTCACGTACAACCTTCCCCAACATTTCTGTAGCTAAAATCTCACGTACAACCTTCCCCAACATTTCTGCAGCTAAAACCTCATGGACAATCTTCCCGGACATTTCTGCAGCTAAAACAATATCCCCGCTCTAACACATTTATTTCTGCTGATAGTGCATGACCAGCCACGTTTCAGAATCATTCATCTTATTTGGCTTTGGATGCTTGTTTGCACCCTCCATCCCCCTACCTCCCCACCCCCACTCCAGTCGCACTGGAAGAATTGGGAAAGTGTTTCTTGACTTCCTTCTCTTCAACCCATCACACAGTTCCCAAATTAACATCCCTGAAAACAGCCTTCAATGGCCCCACTCAAATATCTTGAATGGACCCCTTCTGCCAATTAAATAATCTAAATTCTCTGATCAGGTGGGCCATTTCCTTTCCACCAATCACCTAAGCACCAGTCAAATTGGACTCCTGAGCCATTTTAGCTCTCCCCATGAAGATTCGGATCTGCTGTGGTGAATGTCACCCAGGTCTCACGTCCCCCATCACTGGCTGTTTAAGAATGGAGCCGTATCTTAATAACTCCCCTCAGAAAGTAAGACTCAGCAGTCTATGGGGGAAGAAAAGTAAGACTTCAGAACAGAATCAAATCAAACGCAGGTTATAAAAGCGTATTTCCGCTTTCTCTCCTGCAGGTGTAGTCTTTCCAGAATGAACATAAAATGAAATCCATTTTTTTACCTGTTATTACATTTATATCTGGGTACTGGTTTTCACACAGACCAACAGTTTTGCTATCCTTCTCGAAAGCTTCCCGAAGCTCTTTCTTGACAGCTGCTGAGCCACACAATCGGTACAGGCCTACGACCTAGAAACAAAAGGATAATGGATATGAGGGCAGACATCACATGAACTTGGCAGCCTGCATTGCAACACCTCAAATACAGCTTCTGAGATCTCAAATTAACTGATTATACAGTGACGGAGGAAAAAAAAATGTTTTAGGTAAAAACAGGCAATAAAATAAATAAAATTAAAAAGGCAAAATAAGGTCTATTTTAGGTAAAAAAAATAGTTAATAAAATAATAGAAAAGGTAAAATAAAGCCTACTTTAAAACTCATACAAAAGTTCCACAGACAGCGCTCCCCAGGATCTACAAAAGTATATGTTAGGAACCCACCGCTAGCTCTTCTAATTACTAAGTCTTCGGAAGTTCAACACGCACCCAAGGAGAGGAAGCCAAACTGGTCTCAAAAATAAATAAATTAATTAATTAGTTAATTAATTTTTTGAAAAAAATCCTTGATTAATCTACTGGATTCTTTTGAAAAACTAAACCTCAAGAAATTTAAGGAGATGGGGTGGGGGAGCGGAGTCCGACTACAATCAATCTCCCACAGCATCAATAACCTGGTGTGCTGGCTCACAGGTGCAGTTCCAGGCCCTGGGAACAGGGGGTCAGGAACTCAAGGTCACTCTTAGCTGCAGCTGCACAGTCAACTCAAAGCCAGTCTGGACTTAAGAGCCTGTCTCAGAAGGGAGGAGGGAGGGAGGGAGGGGAAAGGGACTGAATTTAGGAGAATAAGGGGTTGTCACCCATCCTTTCCAATCAAAAGGCTATTTAGGAAGCAGCCACCCTGAGCTGAAAGAACAGTTACAGAAAACTATTTGACAAGAATGAGTCATGAACAATCCTCAAAAGCTTGAACTGGGAATCTGCAGAGATACTTCAGTGACCTAGAAGACGGGGAAGACACAGCAGAGAACTGGGTGGGAGAGCATCACCACCAGCGTGGCGGCAAATGTTATCAGGAGAACTCGACGACTCACTGGACGAACTGAAACATGGTCGAAAACCTGAATCTACTTCAAAGAAAGATCCACGCAAAGTGCTCCTACTCGCAAAAGGATCCACACAGAGGGAAAACCAAGGAATGTGCTAGAAAGACAATTCTCATTTCAAACTGCTAACTGAAGTCCCGAGCCATCCATACTGAGAACAGCATGTTAGGGCTAGCATACCACCTCAAGAAACATGGTGAAAACACACGTAGGTACGCACACACATGGTGCATAGACATACATGCAGGCAAATACCATGCGCATAAAATAGTAATTAAAACAGAGACTGCAGCTGGCTGGCAAACATAAAATCTAGAGAAATCACCTCTCTGTCATGGTCCTGACTAACAGAATCCATTTACTGGGAAAAACCCACAGATAAATTAAGTTTGTTATTTCAGGCTAAGCTATATGTTTAAAATGTGCAGTACAAAGAAAATAGAGGCCAAATGGTAAATAAGATCAAGGGAAATGCTTCCATAGTAAAGGAACCAACGTTATTATAGTCCTTTTGATATAGGCTCATTTAAGTATAATGAAGTCCTACAGTAAGAATTTATACCTTTGAACCTGAAGACAAAATAAGCCTAAGACAGACTATAGTACTAGTGAAGACAGCAGGCAATAAACTGATCAAACATTTTACCCCATCACAGACTTGTAAAGGCCAAAGAAGTGAAGATCTGCCGTGTGCATCAAAGGAAGGACATTCAGGACACAGCCCTCCATTCAGAGGCTGACTGGGGCATGAACACTTCAGTTACAGTGGACAGGCCACGACTGTGATCGCCGGAGTGACTTCTGCCATTGGAAGAGGCAGAGGCAGCAGTATGCAGAGCCGCTACAAGATCACATGTCCACGTCACACCTCCTCTCTGGACGAATCTCAAACGGTTTTTGCAGTGAAAAAGCAAAGGAGCAAAAACACTTAGGCTGGGGACTGTGTGGCAGGCCGCACGGCACAGGTTTAATGTGCGGCACAGGCCACACGGCACAGGTTTAATGTGTGGCAGGCCGCACGGCACAGGTTTAATAGCCTCTGTCCACTTGGCTTCTTAGATGGGGAAGAAGGGCAGGACTCAAAACAAATACTTCTAAATATACAACTTTCTAAAACAATTTTTTAGTTATTTTTTATTATGTGTATAGGCATTTGCCTACATATATGTCTGTGTATTATACGAATGCCTGGTGCCCATGGAGGCCAGAAATGGATGTTAGGTCTCCTGAAAACGAACTTGCAGACAGTTGTAAGCCACCATGTGGTTGCCGGAATCAAAACCAGGGCCCTCTGCAAGAGCAGCCAGTGCTCTTAACTGTTGAACCATCTCTCTAGACTCAAAAGACTTACTTTTAAGTGAGTGTGTGAGTTCGTGCAGGTGTGTGTGTGTGTGTGTGTGTGTGTGTGCGTGTGTGTGTGTGCGTGTGTGTGTGTACATGAGTGCAGCCTCAGAAGTGGCAGCTCCCCTGAAGCTAGAGTCACAGCCAGAGATGACAGGCCAGACATGGGTGCTGGGAACAGAACTTGGGTTTTCTGAAAGAGCGGTAAAAACTCCTGACCACTGAGCCATCTCTCCAGCCCTCCGAAACACAATCCTCACAGGGCAGTGTTGCACACCTGCAATGTCAGGACTTAGGAGGCAGAGAGACCAGGAGTCAGGAGCTCAGGAGCAGACTCCCCTACCTATCTGGTTTATTAAAAATAACACATTAGTCCAAATGTACTGCTGAAGGCTTTCAGGTCACAGAAAATCTTTATTTTGTACTACAGACATTTAGTTATCTGTCCTGGGTGTGCCACGGTCCACACGTGAAGGTCACGGGCTCATTTTCTCCTTCCATCCTGTGGGTCCCAGGAACCAAGTCAGGTCGGCAGCCTTTACCTGCTGAGCCATCTCCCTAGTCCAGGAAATCTTCCTTAAACTTTTATACAAATAAGAATCACTGCTAAAAGCAGCGGTCTTTGTTTTTCTTTTTTTTGAGACAGAGTTTCTCTGTGTCGCAGCCCTGGATGTCGTGGAACTCACTCTGTAGACACTCAGCGAGCCACCTGTCTCTGCCTCCAGGGATTAAAGGCATGCACCACCATCACCTGGCTAAAACAGCAGTCTGTATGCATCTGTTTTCTGCCCCTTTCAGAGAATAAACTACTAGAGTACGGCTTGAGCGCCTTATTTTAATTTTAAATTGAAGTTTCTATTAAATGATTAACTAGAAAATCTACCTAATCTCTGAGCTTCCACACAAGGTGGGGGTGGGGACAGAAGAAGAACCGGAAAACCTTATGCATAAATTAGCTGGCTGGAAGCCGGACTGTAATGCAAAAGACTTGCTCCAAAGGCAACGTAAACTGGAAACTGAATCACGTGTCTGCCTTGAAGTCCTTGCAGAAGATTACACACCATTTCTGGCTACCATTTTCACATTGTGTTACAAAGAAGAACAGATTTTATTTCTTCTACAGGTTGCCTTTGTGTCCTATTTTAGAAGTGTGGAAAGATGTTTCTCTGGTTAAGAGCACTGGCTGCTCTCCCAGAGGAGCTTGGTTCAATTCCTAGCATCTATACGGCCTCTCACAATTGTCTGTAAATATAATTCCAGGGCATTCCAACACCCTCTTCGAGCCTCCATGGGCCCCAGGCACACATCGAGCAGGCAAAATACCTGTACACATAAATAATAAAATTAGCAAAAAAATGTGAACATGGGTTCTGATCAGTAGGGGCTCTCCTCATCTTGTGTGCAGACCCAGAGTAAAGGGCCGGGTAAGTTTGGACTTCTGAAGAGGGAACTGGGAGAATCAGGTTGAAGTTACTCTCAGGTGTCAAGCAGGTCCTGTGACCCACCGTTGGAACAGTCCCAGAACTTCAAAGCACACACAAGTATGTATTAAAAACCTGAGTCTTCCTGTGTTAGCAGCTTTTCAGGACAATTCGCTGTAAAGCAATCTAGTCCTTTCCAGCCCTAAACCCCATGTAGTTCCGTCTCACAACTTAAACCATGGCATTGTCTAGCAGGCTCTCAGATCACGGGCAACAAAAGCTAAGCTACGACACACTCCAAAAATAATGCAATACAAATTCAGCAGGGTTGGGGAGATGTCTAAGTCTCTCTTGTTTCTTCAACCTTACCTTGAATTCCTGTTCCCCAGACTTAACAAGCAATCAATAAAGGAGAGAGCAGGGAAAGGCAGTATTACCTGGCAGCCCCTCTTCTCAATTTCCACGATACATTTCTGTATCAGCAGCGGCACCATCGACCCCGCGTTTTCTTTCTCCACAACCTTCTGAATGTCAACACCAAACATGACTGATTCCCGGTTCTTATCCAGGCCATGGAGAGAATTCTCCCACTGTTCCATGAGGGTCACCTTGACATAAATAAGGCCTCTGGGTTCAAGTTTGACCGCCAGCTGGTGTGTCTTTGTCACCCTGAATAAAGTGGGCAGGACGATGGTGCCGTGACAGCACACTCGGTTTCTCCTCGGAGTGGGCTCCCAGCTGAACACCACCAGCTTCAAATGCTGTGCGTTTTCGATCTCTATGTTGAAAGTGTGGTCCATGTCTAAGAACGTCGTCCGACAAGTGAGCAAAGCTGTCCTGGCTTTGTTCACCGAGTCTACCTGAATTGCACAGAAGACGTCTTTGGAATCTATCCGGGGTGGCTTTAGCCCCTCTGCTCCATAGAAGTGCACACTCATGAGGCCCGATATGTACTGTGAGCACTTGGGCTGATCGGCAAAGCTGTAGTGTCTAAAGGCATCTATATCTATATCGTTTTTGCTACAACTGCTCGGAATGGCTTCTCTTCCTTTCCCAAGTTTGTGCTCGGATCCATGCTTGCTCGATTTAGTTCTAAGTTCAGGTGAATCTCCATCGCTAAGGTAACCACCCTTGCAGGAATATTTTGAGCTCCCAGTGGCTTTCTTCTGGTAGCTGTGTTGGGACGATACTGTGGTATCAAGATGGTACCGGCTTATAACGTTCCTGGTCGGGTTCCCAGAGGGGAGAGGGGCTCCACGAGGCAGCTGGCGACAGCTGCACTTGGAAGGGGTACTCTCTGGACTGTTCATATAGTGCGAGGGTCCCCTGGCACCCAGCTTCCGGCTGAATTCTGGCAACCTTTTCATCTTCATGGACAGTTTCCTCACAGTGCGTGGAGATTTTATTTTATCTGGCAAAGACCAAGTAATGGAACTGCCTTTCTTCGCAGGGCTGGGGCTCGGAGAAGATGACTCCATAGCTCTCAATTCACTCCTATTTGCAGAAACCAAGATGCCAGGACCTTAAAGCAAGAAAGAAAGTTACTACAAAGAGAAGGGCACCCGCTTCTTATTTCTACATTAGAAGACAGCCGGTGCTCCCGGGGCCAGGGCCGCAGGGCCCTTTTCACACCTCCTTCTACAATGCTCTCCAGTGAGTGCAGATCCCCACGTGGTGACTTAAGTTTTGGAGCAACTGGAAATGCCTCTATCTCAGAACATTCAACTAGAGGGACAGTTCTAACGTCACAACACTGCTGCATTTACCCCCTCTAAAGCCAAGTGCTGCACAGGGCAGTACCAATTAAAAAAAAAAGTTAAGCCAGGCGGTGGTGGCACACGCCTTTAATCCCAGCACTCGGAGTGCAGAGGCAGGCAGATCTCTGTGAGTTTGAGGCCAGCCTGGTCTACAAGAGATAGTTCCAGGGTAGGTACCAAAGTTACACAGAGAAACCCTGTCTCGAAAAAAACAAACAAACAAACACAAAAGTTAAAAACCAAAGAAGTCTGTAATTGGGCAGCAAGGAGGCCGTCTTTGTTCTGAAAGTCTATTGGGCTATTCTATATCCAATTAAACATCCTGGTGAATTAACTGGTTCTGGCACAATACTGATAGAAGATGCTAAGTGATCAATTTTTCCAGTTAGAAAGGACAGATTAATCAATTTCATTTTTTTAGTCTGTATATGTTCCTAACTAGGTTTTCAAATTAATCAAACAAAATAAAATATGCTCTGAAACAGGTGGTGGTGGAGCACACCTTTAATCCCAGCACCTGGGAGGCGGAGGCAGGAGGACCTCTGTGAGCTCGAGGCCAGTCTTGTCTATAGGGTGAGTTCCAGGACAGCCAGGACTGTTATTTGGAGAAATCTTGTCTCGGAGAACCAAAAAGAAAAAGAAAATGTTCTGAAAACAGAAACAATGCAGGGTGGGCGGTGGTGGCACATGCCCCTGATCCAGCTCTCAGAAGTAGAGACAGGTAGGTCTCTGAGTTAGTTCAAGGACAGCCGGGCCCACACAGAGAAGCCCTGTCTTGACGCCTCCCACAATTCAGCAGCATCCCAATTATTTCATATTCAATTTTCAGACTTTTGTATACTCCTTTAGATGAAGACCTAATAACCTGAATACCAGAATCGAATCTTGGCAAAACTATTGCAGGATTATAGTGAGCATGTTTATCCGCTTAGAATCAGCAAATTAAATCGCTACCATGAAAGTCGCCCTCCGCCCATCCCTGGATCCTAAGGACAAGCATTGTTCCGTGCAGAGAGACTACTCTGAGTGTGCACCCTGGGCTTTTCTGGTGGACAGTTAGTAAGAAATGGAGGGCTTGCCTACTGGACAAAGCATCCCTTGTACTGTCAACCACAAAACAGTCCTACTGGCTCACTGGTCTAGAACATTCTATAGCAATCAGGGTCCTGTTTTATCTAACATTAACCTATTTTGTTAGAGAAAGGCTACTCGGTGTACGAAAGTGCTCTGGGTTTTCCTAAATTATTAAGGAATTTAATAATCTGATTCTTTTTCTAAACTGTTAATAAACAGTTCCTACCGGAGTCATTCAGAGATTCTACCGCAGACAAGAGGGAATTTATTAAAACAAAAATGTAGGGCTACAGAGAAGGCTGAGCGCATAAAGCGCCTGCTGCCATAAATGAGAACCTGAGTTCAAATCCTTGGAGTTCATGTGAGTTGGTAATCGGTGTACTGCAGCGAGCGGGAGGTGGAGAGGTGGCCATGCAGTAGTAAACAATGAGAAGAACCTCCTGCCTTACACAAAAAGGGTGAGGACAGACACCCAAGGTTGTCTCTAACCTCCACAAGTTCTGTAGCGTGGGTGTGTTCTGACTTACACACAGGAACAAGCACACACATGCACACACCACACAGGAACAAGCACATACATGCACACACCACACAGGAACAAACACACACATGCACATTCACACACACGCACACTCACACACACAACTGCTTTGATTTTTAATATTTAAGAGTTGAACTACTACAAAATTCTATTGTCACTGAAACTAGACTTATATCAACTAAATCACAATACAGCTATGAGAAGTATAAAATGAAAGATGCTTAAATATAGAAATTTATGCACCAAGCCAGAGGTGCTGGATCCTCCGGGAGCTGGAGCTATAGGTGGCTGACTGTGATGTGGGTGCTGGGACCCAAACTCAGGTCCTCTGCAAGAGCAGCAAGCAGTCTTAATGCAGATCTGAAACGTCTTCAATTTATACACACATACAACCGACATCACCTGGGTTTAGTGCTAGGAACTGTCAAGGAGTAGGAAACAGAAATATCAGGGTGTACAGTCACGTTTACCTGTAAAAGCAGATTTCAGCACGGGGCTGTCCTCTGCCGTGATGCCTTCCTGTGTCCTGGGTCCTAACCTCTGCCTGCGCTGCTGCGGAACCTCTGTGAACTGGATGGAGTCTACAGGGCTAATTTCATCTGACTGTGTGCTCGGCACGTCACCTGCATGCTGGGCAGGACACAGCCGCTCCTCGGCCTTCCTCAGGTCTCTTGCAGACACCAGGTTCGCACGGAGAGCAGGGAGCTTCACTGTGGCAGTGTTTGCCTCCTCAAGACTCAAGGCACCTGCTGCGCCAAGGTCGTCTTCCTCGGGGATGGGGTTGTACCATATCTCCCCCTCATCGTCAGCATCGTTGTCCTCACTGAAGTCTACAGCGCAGCTTCCTGAGAATGCAGAGCTGGCGGCATCACACGCCGCATGTGTGGAGTGTTCCCTTGGGGACTTGCAGAAAGGCTGCGACGGCGCATGTCTGGGTGGCGACACCGGGGAGAGCGGGAAATTGCTTCTCTCTTGGCATCGCTTCCTCTCTTCCAGACTCTGAGACCTCAGGGTGCTCTGGTACAGCCAATTGCGTTTCTTGGAGACAGTGATGTTGTTAAGGGGCTGCTGACCTCTAAGTTCAGTGTTACCCTTTACATCCTCAGGTTCCCTTTTCTTCGATGGAGATCCATAGACATTTTCAAACAAGTCTGCTTCAAAGGAGAAACGGGAGAGCATGATAATGTCAGGTAAGCAGGAGACACATGTCCCTTAAGATCAGCTATTAAAACATTTAAAATAAAAGTGGTATTAACTATATTCATAGATCAAAATCAAATCACAAAAACTTTTTCCATTGAAATATAATTTTAATTTAGAAATCCAAGTGGGTATATAAGTGTTATGAAATTCTAAGGGATAAACAAGAGAACAACTGCCTTTATTGTAAAATACAACGGTGCTCAAGTCTTACGCTAAGCAAACTGTCTGATCTATAGAAAGTTACTAAAGAATTAAAGTATGCTTTTAATTGATATCCGAGTAACAGTCAAAGGACCAAAAGTCATGAGAAAGCACAAGTAACATTCTTTTACTTTCACGAAGACTAATTTTTAATAAAAGCATTTATATTCTAACAAAAATTAAAAACCTCAAGTAAAGCACAAACATAAGGAACAGATTAAATACTGAGCAAAACAGCCCCTTCCCAGAATCCAGTCAGGATCCCAGATACTAACACATGTGTGCGCGTCCATACAGGGCATCACGATGTTACGAGAATGCTACATTATTACTTCCAAAGGGTTAGGTGGCGGTGACTAAGCTAAGCACACATCTATCAAAACAGGAGCTCACTGCACATAACTAAAGCACAGCTACATTTGTGGAAATCCGAAATCACGTCATGTTTTCAAGTTAGTACCATTATTGTTATATTATTATTAAATTATACTGTTAGGATAGTCTGAATGTATATATGGCTAATTCATCATTCATGATAAAAGAGTGATCTAATAGCAGCGATAACAATGCATTAAGCTATAAGACACTTTATAATAAACAAAGAATTAGGTTCATGTATAATCAAGGCTTTCAGTAACCTTCCATTTACTGAAAAAAAAATCCTTTAAAAATGTAAATTTACCATTCTCTTTTAAACCTAAACATGTACCCAAATGCAATTAGACCAAAACCTTCATCGCAAACTGAGGTTCCAGGCCAGATATTTCTAGATACATAATCTAGATTAGCTCCTTTTTGTTTGCTTGTTTTTCGAGACGGGGTTTCTCTGTGTAGCCCTGGCTGTCCTGAAACTTGCTCTAAAGACCAGGCTGGCTTCAAACTCAGAGATCCACTGCCTCTGCCTCCCGTGTGCTCACTTGGCTAGACTAGCTCTTCAGAGCTCCTACAATGGAAGTCACTGGTCTACTCAATGAGTGACCACTGTGTGCCAGGCAGGAGAGAAAGCCGCAGGGAAGGGCCCAATTCCCTGTCCCTCTATAGCAGTGGTTCTCAATCCTCCTAACGCTGGGACCCTTTAGTACAGTTCTTCATGTTGTGGTGACCACAACCACACAATTATTTTGTTGCTACTTCATAACTGTAATTTTGCTACTGTTATGAATTATAATGTAAACATCCGTGTTTTTAAATGGTCTTGTGACCCCTGTGACTCACAAGTTGAGAACCAGTGTTCTGCAGCAATCCTGCGAGTGAGTATGAGTGGTGTTCAAAACTAGGTCCGTCTCTAAAACCAGCAACCTTGCTGCACCTTTCCAGACCACAGCAGGAAGTGACCGTCTCTGAACATAAGACAGCTGGCATTTTACCGTATGGGGCACTGTTGATAAAAGATTGCTGCTATGTAAAAACCCCTACTCACCAGAGCCAAGTTCTTCTCTGGGACCAGCCAGCTGGTAAATAGAATCAAGAGGCAGCTTCCCCACCCCCAGCCCTTCCTTGCAGAAGCCTGCAAAGAAAGGACCATCTCCCACCTCCAGGACTGAAGATGCAAACATGACACATACTCAATAAGTATCTTGAAATGATTTCCTTTCAGTATTTTTAATTAAGGAAAACTCGATTCAAGTGTCTCTCTTTGGGGCCGGAGGATGGTTCAGTTAGGAGTACTTACCGCTCTCGTGTAATAGACCCAAGTTGCGTTCCTAGCACCCATATCAAGCAGCCTACACCCCTGGAACTCCAGCTTCAGGGGATGACTCCTCTTTTGGCCTCCACAGGCAACCGTATTCACACGGATATAGACACATAATTGAAAAATAAGCCAGGTCTAGTGGTATACGCCTTTCATTCTAACACTTGGGAGGCAGAAGCAGGCAGATCTCTGAATTCAAGGCCAGCCTGGGCTACAGAGGGAGTTCCAGGACAGCCAGGATTACACAGAGAAACCATGTCTTGAAAAACTAAAATAAAAATAAAATACATATTTAAAAAAATTGTTTCTTCGGTTCTCCCTCCTCTGCGCCCAAAGATAACAAGAACAAGGATCTCGGAAGTCGCTAGGGCTCTGGGTTCTCAGGGACCACAGGCTCTTGCCCAGGGCTCTGAAATCTAGAACGACCTCGCCTTTCAGGCCACATCTCCCTCACCGTGTAATGGCATATCAGACCTGGACGAGACACTGTTTACACATAGTTCAGACACAGTTACAAAGCTGAAACCAGAAGTCACACCTTGTTGATCTTCTCAGAGTACCTTAGCAACACCCAAAACTTTATGTAGCTGGACACTATTTTGTGTCCTGCCATTGTTTTTCACACACTATCCATCCCACACCATTCCTGATGGGCATCCACATGCACTACATTCCAAGGAACTGGAATGAGAAAAATAAACCTATGAGCAGTTTATATCTAAGCAACTTGGTGGGTTTAATCCAAGTGTAATACCACTAAAAGGAACAAGGGCATTGTGAGACACTCACTATTTTTGTTATTGTGCGTGTGGTGTATAGAGTGTGTGAACATGTGTGTGCATCCATGTAGAAGCCAGACGCTGGCATCAGGATCCTCTGGAACTGGAGTTACAGAAGGCTGTGGGCCACCATGTCCTCTGCAGGAACCAGGCTCTAAACCCTGTGCCTTCTCTCCAGGCCCTCCCATCATGCTTTATTGAGACAGGGTTTCTCACTGAGCTGGGAAGGCTGTGTTAATCATCTCTCTCCTCTCTTCTTAAGTTAAAAACTAATGCCTAATTCAATTGCACAGATTTTAGAGTTAAATCTTGCTTCAGATTACAGATACACAGAAGATGGAAGTAAAAACAAGTATGCAAAGTTGCAGGGCAAAAAGAAAAAAGCACTCTCTTACAAGGATACATTAGTTGCTATAGTTTTCTAAAGTGATTTTATTTTGAAAATCTGTAAGAGAATGCAACAGTGGCGGAGTTTTTCACTGAGAAAAGTAAGCTGCATAGTGGTGAACTACTTGAGCCCATTTTATTCTCTCAACAACGATTTCATAGTAAAGGCAGACAGTGTTTACTGAACATTTAACATTTACTTCTCTTGCAGCATCAGCTGACTAAGCAGCAGTGCATTTCGTCGCGGATTGGAAATGCCCAGCATCCACGGGCATCTTTCCATTGCTCCAGAATCTCCGGAAGAAAGCAGTGTCCTTCCTTCTCTTTAAAACCCTCAAACAAAACCAATTCTATCAGCATCAGGCGTTGAAGCCTATGCTTAGGTTTTGTTGGTTTAAGAAAACGAACCTGTGTGTGCACTTCCCAGATAAATCTGAAAGGAGGTGGAGGGTAAGAAAAGACACATTTTCTTTTCTTTTTTTATGACTAGCAATAAAAACCCTGAAGCAATATGCTCACATTCGACACATCAGAGACTGAAAAAGTAGAAAGGAAAAGTTCGAGACGGTTTTCTTTTGTTTGTTTGCTCTTTGCTTTTCCAAGTCACGGTTTCTCTGTGTAGCTCTGGCTGTGCTGGAAGTCACACTGTAGACCAGGCTGGCATAGAACTCAGAGATCTGCCTACAGGGATCTCAGGAGGTGTTTGAGAGGGCAGCACAGAAGAGAAGGGGAGCAGGATAAGTAAGAATGGCTGGGGGTGTTTTCTAGCTCAACCTCAAAGGTCCCCCAGGCCTAACTCCTCAATCTTCTCACACCGACTGGGTGAGGCAGTATCCTCATGAAGCCTGCCAACCGCCTACACTGTACCACATCATTTTAGTATTCTCGCAGCGGCCCAAGGAAAGAAGCCACAAGAAGCTGAGTATCTTGTCTAAGGTGAAAGAAGCAGGGAAAGTCTGTCCAGAAGTCCAGAACCTATAAACGACTGTTCTTCCACGCTCATGTCTCTGGCAGATTCCAAAATCGCCAACACTGATTGGTGAGAGACGGGATCAATTAAGATAACTGCTCAAATACATCACATATTATACGTAAGTACTAACTATTAATTCATGCAAGATTGAAGCAGAGAACTCTGCTTTGCTCCAATTGGGGTCAGTATAAGCATCAGGTATTAAATAAGGAAAGTCATTCCAAAGCTGAGGCACGTGAGAACTCCAGGCCCTTACTAAAGAACGGCCTTCCAAACGGCACCATCTGTCCACCAAAAGCCTATTAAAATGCAGAAGCTCAGGACCCTGCCCAACTCTAAGGTTTTCCAGGAATCCATAGGCACACTGTTTGAAAGCATCCTTCTCAAACAGCGAACACCAAACCTTCTGCAACAAGGGCCTAGAAAACAGCCTAAGACGTTCTCAGAAGATACACAGATATCTCTTTGATGGCAAACCATTGATTTAGAAGCACAGGACTTTCAAACCAGCAGGACACTATTTTCTGCTGATTTTGTAATTCTCGAAGTTTTCCAGCCACCAGCAACGCCAATGTTCCATGGCGCTCTTCCAAAACAACAAACAAAAAAAGCTGCACTTGCTTCCAAAGGCCAGAACGCCAAGCTGTCCCACACAGGATTTCAATGGAGAAGACTGTCAGAAACCGTCCACTTGCTGCTGCTAATGTTGAAGATGCTGGGGTGGGGGACCATGCAAGAACAATAAAGAAACCAGAGTTTCAAATACTTCAGAAAAGTTGTAGATGGGAATCTGTATCACAGTATCAACTTTACTTAAGATGGTTAAAAATCATACCAGGTGGGGGTTGGGGGGTCTGGAGAGATGGCTGAGTGATTAAGAGCACTGACTGCTCTTCCAGAGGACTCAGGTTCTATTCCCAGCCCCCCACAGGGCAGCCAACAACTGTCTCTAACTGGGTGGGCACCTGGCACACTAGTGGTGCACAAACAAAACAGCCATACACATTAAGATGAAAAGAAATCAATCTTAAAAGGGAAAGAGGAGAAAGGGGAGGGGCAGAGTCAGTCACAGTGGCACTGGTCTTTAATCCTAGCACTCAGTAAGCAGGCAGAGCCTGTAAATTCAAGGCCAGCCTGATCAACATACTGAATTCCAGAGCTATTGTAGAGACTCTATCTCCAAAAAGCAAACAAATAGAAATGGGGAACTGGGACTGGGACTCAGTGGGTACAGTGCTTGCCCAGTGTGCACAATGCCCCGGATGCCATCCAATGGGGTACGGTCATGCACAGATCTGGAGTTCAAGACCAGCACTGGCTACAAAGGCAGCAAAAAGACCATGTCTTCTAATGAACACTACCTTAAAATCTCTAGGTTAAATTATTAAGTAACATAGCAAGTCCTTCGCAGAAGCAAAAGTGGAGTCAAAGAGGCTCAGTTAAAGAATAGCCAAAATAACTCAACCGATGCTCCAAATATATTTCTAAAAATTACACGCTAATTAAAATTAAGACTTATAATGAAGTACAGTTGGCAAATTAACTATGATTCCTTCATAATTTTAAGGCTTGCAGAAACTTGACAATATTTACTGTGTGTAATGACTTTAGATTTCTTAAATAATCATCTCAATTAGGAACAAATTGGCCAATCTGTGAACACTGCACACGTAAATGCATCCGACTTCTGGCATCATGATACAGGAAACGTTTAATGGTTCTTGGAGGAGCCACAGAGCAAAACAGAAAGCCACTTGCTTCCATGTCATAACAGCTCATAAGAGTCTCCAAACATTTTAAAAATACTCAGAGTAGAGAGCTCCAGGTCATTACACAGCTATTCTAGATTGTAATCTTATTTTGAAAAAAGAAAATCCGTATAAATACTTAGAAAGTGTGATATGAACCCTTTAAAATACTTACCTTCTTTTGGACAGCTAAGAATAGACTGCTTCAAAGCTAGACTCTGTAGTTTCTCAGAAAAAAATAGTTTTGAAAATTTTTATTTTATTCTCCTTTTTGTGTTGGTGGAAGAGTGGATCTGTAATCACATTTATGTCTTGACCCTACTCAGCATATACTCTAGCACTGAGCTATATAAACAACAAATTGACTCAAAAGTACACAGCAAGTAACATCAACTTTAAACAGTATATAGCAAGGCTGTAGAGATGGCTCACCAGTAAAGAGCACTTGTTCTTGCAGAAGACCTGGGCTCAATTCCTAAGCACCCATAGGGAGGCTCACAGTCATTGATAATTTCAGTTCCAGCGGATCTGGTACTCCCTCCAAGGCACCAGGCAGACACGTAGTGCCCATAAATACGTGCAAGCACGCAAACACATAAAATGCATCTTAAAAAATATTTTAGTTAAAATAAATGAACTAAATTAAATTATGAAATTCTTTTTAAAATTTTAGAGACTATTCTAGAATCCCTCCATCTTCTATGCATGCACTCTAAACCGCGTTTTATAAAACTCCATTTCTTCAAGCCAAGTCATTTAATAAAATTAACTGGATCAAGCCTCTAGAAGATTTTGAGTCCCTTGGACCTTATATGGAGAGGTTTTTGAGTCCTGAGAATGAAGTATGAATCCAGCAATGCTGTGAGTCTGCACCCCAGCAAGATGCCTTCAGCAGACTCCTTACCTGTAGGCTCTTTGTGCTGCATGACAATGGCCTTATCTTGGGTGGGGAGAAGAGATGGGAGTGGAGCTGGAAGAATCCAGGTTGGTCCAGACCAGCAAACTACCAAGAAAACTATCCCCATCCACAGATGCCGGAAAAACTATTTTGTTATTTTTACTTCCTAAAGAATAGATGTGTGAGACGAACAGAAGTAAGGAAGCCAAAGTTTAGGTCGGAGATTTTGGCAGCTTTAGGCTAGATTTCTTACAAAATACTGCTATAGTAATTGCAATATTTAGTTTTAATTTTAATTGTAGTATTTGGTTTTAATATTTGTATTTAATGTCATAATAGAAGAGCAACAAATTCATCCTTCAAGGAAATAAACTTTTAATTCCCTGAGTATTTACACAATGACTCACGGAATTTGAGGGCGACTGTTTTCACAAGGAGTTTTGTTATCAGTGAAAGTTATCAGAGAGTTGAATTAAACCAAGTCAAAGGAGCTTGAAGGCTGTCAGACTTTAACACCAGTACTTTAGATCTGGGAAAGCCGGGGGAGGGGGTTGATTTGGGTGTTTTATCCTTTGGGCTTTTGTTTATCATGTGAGCTTGGTAAAGTACAATTCTCTTGACAAAGACAAGACTACTCCTTTACTTGGGTGAAACAGAATCTATTGTTGAGTATATATTGTCTATATATCATACAAAAATCATTGCTTAGTGAGAACTTTTGTGATCTTTGCTTCTCGTCACATTTGTGTTTTATTGATTAACGTTGGTGTGTAATAACCCAATTCTGGGGATGTGTAATCTTCCCTCTTTCTTTTTTTAAAGACAGGGTCTCACAATGTAGGCCAGGCTTAGAGCCTATTCCTCCAGAGAGCTGGGACTAATGGCGTGCGCCTCCACACCTGGGCTGCAAGTGCACTTCCCAGGAAAGCCTCAAATACTTTCAGTACTCACTATTTTTTAACCACTTCACTGAAAGTCCCTGTAGGTAACAGGGAGTCAAGACACCACGGGGTTCTGATCGGTTTATTTCCCCAGAGATTTTTGATATTGACAATAAAATTCAGAGATTTCTACAACTGATAACCTTCAGGGCTTACGAAAAACAGGCGCATACCAAACCAAGGAGTGTGAACACTATATAAGGACAAACAGACTTTAAAAAATATTTTTCTACTATAAATGTTTCCCAAGTTTTCAAGTGACCTTGGGTACTTGGGTGTGGATCTGAGTGACATTTATTTCCATTACCAAGCCAGTATCCTAGATTGTTTTTCTTTTTTTTTCATCCTACAAGTGGATGGAATCTTTGATTTGGGTTTAGTTTGGTTTGTATGGTGTGTGTTTGTGTGTGTGTGTGTGTGTGTGTGTGTGTCTGTCTGTCTGTCTGTCTGTCTGCCCAGCATGCTCACATGCATGTCTGAGCTCAAGTAAGTGCCTGGAGGAGAAAAAGAGCTCAATCAGTAGAATGACAGTTTATGAAGCCTGTAAAATTCTACCTTGGATCCAATTCAAGTTCACAAACTTCCCAAGTCTTAGGGTTTGCCGAGAGCTACGCAGCAAAATCAAGGTAGTGCCGGTCACCTCAAAACCTACAGAAAAAGCAGGTAAAGAACTCAGCTTCTGCTCACTGTTGTCCTAAGGGAGGAGACACGCTGACTCTTGGAGAAGAGGAGGAAGAATCAGAAAAGAGAAAGGAAAAAGCAGCCGGGGGGGGGGGGGGGGGAGCGAAAAGAACACAGCTCTAATGCATGACATTGGCAGAGTCACGCGACCTACTGCAAAAACACTGGCCGGGACAGAAGCCCACTTCAAAAACACGAGAGCCATGGTTCTCAACCTATGGGTCACGACCCCCACCGGCCGCACATCCGATATTTACAGTACGATTCGTACCGGCAGCAAAATTAGCTGTAGAGTAGCAGCGAACTGCTTTTGTGGTTGGAGGTCACACAGCATGAGGAACTGTATTAGGAAGGTTGAGAACCACCGCCCTGGAGGCTCCTCGGCGTTGCTGAACACACTGACCGCAGTGTCCTACCTGTCAGTGCGATTCTTTGGTCCGCAGTCACCGAGAGGACGTGGTTTTCGTGCACTTTCCAACTGCCCAAATTTGGAGAAGTTGCCTGCGCTCCGGGAACTTTGGGTGCTGTCCCACGAGCGCGACCCTTCATCCCCAGGGACAGCAGGCGTCCTTTGTACATCCACCTCTGCAGCTTCTTGACTGTCACCGCAGGTGGCTTGAGGGGAGGCCCCTCGGGACGGTCCTCTTGGCTGCTGGGTATCGCAGAGGTCCCCACAAGATTCCTATAGGGACGTCCCGAGGACCGGCCCGGGTCCTGGCAGATGGAAGGCAGGAGGGCGGCGGACGCAGCAGCCCGGTGGTTGTCCCGGCTCCAGCCGTCCATCCCACCTACACGTGGCGGGGGCTCGTCCCTGTCCCGGTGCGCGGCGCACGAGATCCAGCTGTCGCTCACCCACCGCTGGAGCAGCGGCGGCTGGGGGTTCACGCGGAGGCTCTCGAGACTTCTGCAACTGGACAGCCTCATCCGAGGACTCGGCGGCCGTCCTACCCCGGACTCCTCCGAAGGCGACCGGGGCGGGGACACCTGCTGCGAAGGGCGGTCGCCGCCTCGGGGGCCGCGGGCTGGGCGCACGGCTGCGCCGTGGGGGAGAGGTGGCTGCTGGCCCCGAGCCCAGGC